CCAACCTACCGCCTCCCTCGCCGCTGTGCGTACACCCACCAGCCGGAACACATGATGGAGGGTGGGGGGGGGGGGGGGGGCGCGTTGGCCCCCCCTCCTTATGTCATACGATTAATCCTTTAATAAGGACGAAACCGGTCATCACAGATTGTCTCACCCTCAACATCCTCGACTTGTGTTGCTATGAACTATTTAATAAAAACACATTTATGTCTATTCTATTTGAAATATGCAACAAATCACTCAGTTGAATGGAATGCAACAAGTGATTTCTGTTTTTTTCAAATATTACCATCTATGACGATAATGATCAATGGCATATCACCGGACACAACCGAGATTATGTCTACTGTTTCGAATTCCTATGAGTGTAATAACATGACAGTTTTATTGGATACGATTTATATAGTAATGATTTGGATTCAGCTAGTGTTGCTAGTCATACAGATTTTTGTCTATGGTGTCGAACGAATAGTAGTCGCGTTGCTTATACATGGGTTATACCTACAGGAGATACAACGACTTCAAGATATTATCGAAAAAAAAAACATATCGTCTCCTTCTTATACTGAAACTCATATTAGTGCATATAGCTGAAAAAAAATTTTAATCCAATTTCTATAACAAATATAACGAAAGGTGTGTCACTTGACTACGAAATTGTGTGTATTTATAATACATACGTAATAATGACGCAATGTAAACGCCAACGAACGTTTAAATCATACACACAATTTCATACTAAAAATCAAGCCATTTTATGTATTTTCAAGTAGTCAGAGTTAAAAAAATTACAAGAAAAAAAGGAAGTTATTGTATGTATTTTTACTTTTATATGGTTTTTTCCAAGTAAAAAAACACACATATATATAGAATACTATTTTCTGTATAAAAACAGCTCAATACAATGCTCAGTCGAATTTGTAGAAATATAGCGAGAAACTCTTCGGTTTTTACTCAGTAAGTGTATACAAAACTTTATCTCACATTTAAAAAAATATAGTAAATTGTTTTCTTGTATCATTTATAGAAATCTGTCACATGAAATTAGTCGAAATGGTTCCATGCCTACAACAGCCATTCTTGTTCAGGCAACGAATGAATCTCTACGAAATGAAACAGAGCAAAAATGGTTACAAAATACATATCCCGGTTATCTCTTCAAATCAAAAGCAATGGTAACCGACAACGGAAGTTATTATGATCGAATAACTATTCAAACAATAAATAGACACGAGCAAACAGTTTATTTTGATATCACACAAAATTTTCAAGTTCCATTGTTAGATTTACAACATTTGTCCAATGACGAACAGAAATAACTACTTTTTTCTATTTTACAACGGTGCGAAAAGAAAGAATCTATAAGAGTCCTTCAGAGACATTGCAAAGGCACATCTATAAGGACAATATTGAAATAAATGGATGTGTGAACTATTTGATGTGTTACTAATATACTATAATCGATTTCTGTGTCTCATCAATTCACAAAAAGTATTTTTGAAAATAGGAAAGGAGTAATAAGTTCGTTAACATTTTTTAAAGCTAGTGAATACATCTGACTGATTGAACTACTGTTAAGCACATTGACATGTGCAGGAACAATTCATAGCAGTCGTCCTTGTAGATGTTGTGGTTGTACTAATGGTTGTAGTTGACGTAGTTGTAGTGATATGTGCAAAAGTTGTAGTTGTAGTTGAAGTAGTTGTAGAAGATGAAGATGTTATAGTAGACGTAGACGTAGATGTAGAAGTTGGAGTTGGAGTAGTTACCGAGGTTGTAGATGTTGCGGTAGTTGTGGTCGTTGTTGATGTTGTGGTATTAATATGGAGTGATGTTGGAGTGACAGTTGTTGTAGTTGATAAAGGTGTAGTAACAAGTGTGAGATTTTGATTACTATTATGCAATCCAATGCCTAAACCGATAGCAATTACAGTACCAACAACAATGATAGCTACAGTAACTGCTATACTGACTAAGAACATTTTCGAACAAAAAATATTTTATGTATTGACTTCATCAATATTTCTATATATGATGGAGAGCAAAGTTGACAACAATTTCGTATAATTATATTAATGAATTGAATAGGTGCTATTTTGCCGATGGAGAAGAAAGACAAGAGAAGAGTTACTATTAAAAATCATCTTAAAAATGTCACATTTAGCAAATTAATAGAACAATATAATTGTAAACACTCAGTCAACAAATACAAAAAGTAGAAATAACTCAAGGTATACGGAATAGTAATAGGATACTCTATAATAAAATATCAAGTTGTTCTTAAAAACACTTTTCTCCATAAGAAAAATATTCGTTTATAGGTAAACATTCGTCAACAACTTATTTGTCATTCATATGATTCTATCACAGACAGCAGTCAAAGGCAGTTTGAATGATCTATGATAATTGATTCGACGCGAAAAGATAAATATAAAATTAACCGATGAAAATTCTTATGTAAACATAAAATGATAAAGTCTGGGACTTAATATTCAAAAGGTAAAAATGAAGGTCTTTTTTCTCTCATGACATCTATACCTTGTCGCCACGACACTTACTCTCACCCTCACACACCCCTTTGAGAGAAAAATGAAAACAGTAAGTATTTTCCATTCCTTTTCTTTACACAAGACTATTATACATTGTCCAAGTCCATATGTATATATGTATGAAATAAAAGCACAATCACGTTCCATTTTTAGTTTAATTCATGGTATATTCAGAGTGAGTTGCTAAAAAAACCATGCTTTGGCTTCTAATACCACTCATGTCAGGAATCGTCTCACATATAATTCACAGAAAAACTAAAACATGAACAAATATATGTTTAGATGGCCCTCGATATGATGACGCTATTATTATTGGAGGCAATATTAGTGGAATGGTAACTGCTGCTTACTTAACACAATATTTCTCTCGAATCACAAGTATTGAATCAGATGATATATTAAATGATAAATTAATACAATCTACACCCGAACAATTATTAAATTATCGTTGTCGTCTTGATAGCCCAGCATCAGTAGGACGATCAGGTGTTCCGCAAATGTATCAAATACATCTAATGGCAATTGGTGGACGAATTATATTGCGTGAATTATTTCCTCAGCTTGATCAAAAATTGCTGAATGAATACCATGTTCTTTCTTATTCGTTGGAAAATGAGTTAAGACTTGTTTTTAACAATGTATTACTACATCCAAATTTAACAGAAGACTTTAAATGGCTAGGTATTGATCATTTTACATTAGAAATAGCAATACGAAAAAAATTATGTTTACAATATGGACATAAAATTCAATGGATTTGTAATTCAAAAGTGAAACAACTCATTGATGATCAATCATCAAATACTGTGAAGGGTGTGAAATATCGTTCTACACGTGACAGTCGTGCATCAACAGTCGACCTGCATAGCGATTTCATTATTGATTGTAGAGGTTCACATTCATCATCAATAAAATGGTTAAAAGAAGATTTGAATTTAATTATTCCAACTGAACAAATATATTTTGGTTGTGTTTATCTCACATTCGTTGGCGAAAGATTGGAGACTGGCAATTCATTGTTCGATTGAAAATCTATTATTGGTTGTATAGTTAATAGTCCTGAGAAAAATAATGGTTGGTTTATAATGCCAATACGTACAATGAAAGAAACAGATGAAAGACCTTGGGGAACATTATCAACAGTTGCAATAAATTCTAATAATTCAGAATATCCACCATCTGATTCCTATGAAAATTTATTAGACTGGGCTAAAGATAATCTACAATCGGATTTTTATACAATTTTAAACTCAACAATCGTCTGTAGTCCATTGATTTCATATAATCTCCAAAATGACTATCGAAAATGTGTTGAAGTATTAGGAGAAAAATGGCCTAGAAATTTTATATTATTAGGTGATGCACTGTGCACAGTTAATCCTCAATTTAGTCAAGGTATGACACATGTATGTAGACAAGCAAGAGAATCGTTATGAATTAAAAGATATCTCTCATATATATATAACCATTGTGCTTCAACTGCAAGTGATTGGAAAACATCAAAACTAAAAGTTGTCAAGACTGATATAAATGGTGAAACAAAAACTTGTCAACAAGATGGTAATTTCGATGCAGCAGCAAGTGATCAGTTACAGGCACATCCTCTGATGAAATTTATGCAATGGTATATGTTTTAGTTTCTACAATGTGCAGGAACATCTGGACAATTTTCTACAGAATTTCAATATATTATGAATCGATGTAGTAGTCCGTTTCAATTGTTAAATCCATTAACAGTTTTAATCGTTTTTTATCTTGCATTAATGAATTATCTCGGCTTTTCCGAGAAATGATTTTTTTAAAGCAATTACTTTTATTTTTATATGAGAACTCTCACAACTTGATAATATATATTTATAACTTTGTTTTCATTTGTTTCTTTACGTATGATATATTAACAACTGCTTCGACTTTTTCTACGATTTATTCCTTATAATATTCAAGTTCATGGAATCGATAAGACCTCACAGGTTTTTGTGACAACGGATATATATATATATACTTGGAATTCTCATTCTTTGTCAATTACTGGTGAACGTTCGACACTCCAAACATTCAATGTATACTATCATAAAATTGTTTCTTTAAGAATCTATGTTTAGTCTTTTTTATTGCTTTGAAGTACGTGACCTTACGATTAATTCTTCTTCCATTAACAAACGTTGTTGTAAGTGTTTATAATGAAACTTGCTAGACTTTCATTTTTGCATTGTATTTCGAGATTTATTGTTCGAATATACTATTATCAAGCGTCATCAACACTTATCTCCGATATATTGTAGTATATGAAGTATTTTCGTCTGAACCAGTCTGCGTTAGTGTTGTTTTGATTGACGTGACATCTAAATCTATAGTTAGTATAATATGACAATAGAATCACTATCAATTAAGATCTGTATAACACATTCCCGAATAGAAAAAATATCTTTCTATTCCATATACTTCACGCCATGTCATCGTTGTTTTTATAGAATAATAACAATTACGCATAAATACGTAGATTGTACATACAATGCTGGGAAGAAAATGATATGTACTTTCTCTTTTCATCTACACGACTGACAAATAATAGCACGTACGCGCATCTTATCGACGAGAGAAATATTACAATCAAAAACGTAATATTTTAATACTGATTTTCATATCTTTATTTTTGTATATATCCCTAGACTGATGTGAAGTCTGATGAAGGAAAATGACTGCCAACAGTCACAAATCGAAGGATGATATTATCCATATGACATATCTATGTATGGTGTATGTTTTCTGTTCTGCCATCGTTTCTTTTTTTTCTCATATCATATAATAGAAGAGAAAGATATTTTGATAATTATGGTGTTGAGGATGTGAATTTCTTTTTCTTCTTCGTCCATAATCATATCTTGACTGCTTAAATACCGTTAAGCAGAATCATATGAAACAATTCTTCAACAAAAAGTTATGAAGTATATCATAGTTTGCTTTAATATTCACACGTATATTCGATTGTGTTTCCTCTTTTCTGAATTTGAAAAGTGGAAATTGTTAGAAATAAAATTAATTATTGTTTATTCTCATTTAGTTATATTGATGTTGGTCGATACTATCCTCTACCTCCATGTCTCTCAGTTTGTAGTATAACTCCAACTGCAAGAAAATAAATTTCATCTGGTAGTTTGTTGGATAGAGTTTCCAAAATAGCCAAAATTTCACTGCTATTTTCATATTGAAATATCCTCACGGGTGCCTTAAATTGATTTCCAATAAAAACACGATGTTTATGCCATTGAATTAAGTAATACTTATCAGTCATATTAAAAACTTTTTCAATTGTTCCATTTATGTACTGATTCAAAGATGAATCAATAATTGCAAAATTTGCTCGAGAAACACCTCCTTTACTTAGACGTCTTATCATTGCTGTAATTTGTTTCGTTGATTGATTAACGACTTTCAATTTAAGTCCAAAAGCAAAATCAGATTCGATACGATATTGTAATTGTTTCCTTGTAGAATCATAAATGGAAAATTCCTCATCTTTGTATCCATTAAAGAAATCTTTAGTAATGAAATAAATACGAACACAAGTTGGTAGATTATTAATAGCTGGAAGTGATATGAATATTATCCAAGGAAGAAAATAGATTCGAATGTACATCGTTCTTGTGAACTTTGAATTATTAATCAAAGCGAAGATAATAAATCCTATAGTATTTGCCTTGTGTATGTATCTAAAAGGAAGAAAACAAGACACATGTATGCCAATCAATATTATGGCATATCTCTTCATCTTTTTTCACTAAATGAAACACTTGCCCTCAATAGTCACTTTTTTCTGCCTTATTTTTTCTTTTTTATCTTTATTCCCTTTCTTCTTCTCCATATCGATGTTGATGCTATATAGATCCTGGGCAATCACATTACCATATATTACGTTGTTTTTCTTTATTGTCATATGATACTTCGCCCGTTTTCTTCGATGTGACTTTAGCTTTACTCATATATAGATTTACACCATCTCAAATAAATAAATAAATATCCAGGAATATCTGAAAATTATTAATCGAATATTTATTTGCATCAGTGATTGGATACTTAGTACAGCGCTTAACGTACTTGTACCCAGTGGAAAATATATCTACCACAATCTAGATTTTTTGATTTTCAGTCAAAATTCCTGAATACTGTTGGAAAAAATCGATTTTTTCACTCAATATACGATTAGAGTTGATTTTAATTCCACTATAAGGCAAGAAAAAGCTGTAAGCTGTAATTTTAACCTTCAAGCGCGAGCAGTAAACGCTGAGCACGGGAAAGATAAGCGCATTGATCAATCAGGACACTATTACCTACACTCAAAGATTTTTTTCTCAATTTTATTTGAAAGAAATATTGAACTCATTATTGCAAGGAAATATTATAAGTTATTGTATTCATTTGTACCGAAATATCTTGGTGATGATTCGACAGCAGATTTAATGATCGCCGCTCTGGCCGTTCATTCAATTTTCTCTTCGTTGGTTGTTGATTAGCGCATACTTGAAATATATCTGCACGACTATTGTTTTCTTCACTAATTAATTTTTCAAAAAAGATCCAAAGTATTGAATGTGTACACTGGAAAACCGCACAAATTCGTCGATGGTAAGCCTCAGCTGAATTATTGGTTCGCATCATAGATTGATCTATCTTAGAAGAAAACTATTACTTACCGATATCCGTTCCTTCAAAATAATCTAGTATGTCTTCAAATTCAGATGTGAGATTTATTGAAAGACGCTCGAATCCATTTATGACAGACTTTTCATCCGAGAAGGTTAAAGCAGCGATCTTGTGGATATTGTGTGCGATGTCTGCATTTGTTTCATATTCTTGTTGATGTCCTAGTGCCTGAATTGATTAAAATATAAAACTAATAATAGATAGAGAATTATGAAATTTTTACCTACCCGAAGTTTTCGATCAATACTTTGTCGTGAATGGAAATAGCAACCAGATAACAGAACAGTAGGAAATGCTGCTTTGAATGGCGCGATGGAAGATTGCTCGAAATCGGGCATGATAGTGCGAGGAGACCAACGAGGTGCAATAATTATTATTTCATCGATAAGATCTTTATAGGTTTCAGCAGTTTTTTGACGTAATAAGGCGAAAACTAATGGAATCACATGATCACGAAATACACCATGGATAATATAGAGTTGATAAAAGATTTCAGGAACGACTTTAAATGTTCCGTCGACCAGAAGTTCATCACTTGCGAATATCAAGATTCGGTCTTCTCCTACATTTAGAAAGATTAAACGTTTAGAAAAAGATCTTTCATTAAGTAGTTTGTCACATACCTGGTCCTGTATCACATCGAAGGAATTGATCGTTACGTAAGGTTGTAGTCAATTTAACAGGAATAGAATGAAAATTTGGATCATTAGGCTCTTTCACCATTTGGATTTTTTGTCGTAGCATTCATATTCGACGCTTAAGATTATTATGCATTGGTGGTAAACGAGCGAGCGATGGATCTGAGAGACCTATTGGATATAAGAAAAAGTCTCACTAGAAAAGAACATATTACGGGTGATTACTTCTCTAGCAGTTAGTGACGATAGTGCGGGGTGTTTCTTGAATATTAACAGCACGGTGGGCGACGTTTTCGCTGAAAATCCTAAGTTGGACTGTGGTGCCATTGATTTTGCATAGATGTTCAGTTGGTCTTTTCTTGATAGTATTAGTGAAATTTACATGTGTGAAGACAAGAACGACAGCAATCCGATGAGTATCTAATGCACCGCCAGTAGGTTTTTCCGCTGGTTCATCGATCCATAACATAGGAATTATTACCGTAACCCAAATGTGATTTTCTTTTCGTACTGCCACACTTTGAAATTGTCACCATATTGGAATACAGTAGAATAACAGAACAATCGTGTCTTTTGACACAATTATAGCTGCAAACAATTAATTTGCTCATCTTCATTCACCTATGATTTTTAACCTGATTCAATTTCATTCTTTTATTTTCTTAATAGTCAGAAGCAGTTATAAATTGTTCTCGTAAATACAGTGTTCGTGCTCATCTTTCCGGTGCTTAAGTTGCCGACTCCCCTTCAAACGTAGTCGCAACCGCATTTCAACCCGATCATCAATAGTTCCCAATGGATTGCATGGATTCCCATGGAAATTTCAATTTGATTCTATAGCAAAAACAAAATATAGTGAACATGAAGAAAGTTTTCTCGTCACAGCCTATGCGACTGAAATATGAAAAAATAAATCGGTATTTAATTTGGGATCTGTTGTATTTATATACTGTATCGACCAGAGTCGTCTCGTCGCAAGCTGTATTTTTTATACATTGATAAGTTCTAATAAGTTTATGTTGAATGTGTTAGATTTGGGAAACGGAAAAAAACCATTTCTACCATTAGGATCTTCAAAAAATACCGTTTTTTCGATGATGTCATCTATATCGATGAGTGCAAACGCGTACTAAGACGCATATAATCCATATCTAAGACATGGGAAAAGGCAAGAATGGCTCGTGGGACGAGGTGCCAAACAGAGGAGTCTTCTTCTCTGCATTTTTGTTTCAATGATAAGCAGGGTGATTGCATCCGATGGGAATAAGAAAAGGACGCATATGTCAAGTTTGTTTGATGATCCATACCATGATGTATCGCGTGCTGAATAAAATTCAAATTTTGAATAATTTCTAATGCCTGCTGCCGTTGACTTTTAGTCTATCGAACAAGTATTCCTGTTAAAAAGACGCAGCAGCAGAGATAACTATAAGTAACATGACATTATCCACTATATCAAGGTCATTCTCAAACTGGAATGTCGTGTAATATGTTAAAGGACCAAAGTCTCGAACTGTTTCAGGAATATGAATGACAGAATGAACTACTTGGATATAATGACGACCTGTATGTAATTTGGGAAAAATAAGAACAAAACTTTGGCATAAGTTTCGTATGATGCTGTGGTCTGCATTCTGCAAGATGCGTAACACCAAGAAGCTGTAGTAAATGTTCATAGTATCGTTTGCGCAAAAACTTCTTGAAGATAACGTGGTCGAATAAAAGCAAAACCTTATACTCGTTCGCGTTGTAATTTACGATGAAGACTGAGCGCGAGAGGCATCCGGGTGGTGGCTGGTGGCAATCTAACACAACGAAATAAAGTAGGTAACTCATGGATATTTCCGAAAATGTTCCATCCTTCGTGAACGTAAGTTTTATTGAGCCACAGATCGATCATCTTTTTCTAAAATTTTAGTTTGAATAACGGTTAATGAGAAAATTCTTTTTACCTACAAATGAACCAATATACCCATTATGTAAACTATCAACCATAAAGGATCGTCCGACATTAAAATATGCCAGCTCTCTCAATATGCATACAGCTGCAATACCTTTTTCATTGTTTTGTCAACAGGTGGCTTGTGCAATTTCTTATTCTTCGGCCATATGTTTGTGAGCTCTTTTTGTAATCGAAAAATATCAAGAAGTAGATCATAGCATTCGCTCGAGCGGATATTAATTTCATATAAATCATTAGATTTTACGGAAAAGCTTCGTACACATCCTCCGTTATCAGTAGGAACCGTAAAACCTATCAGAAGTGAGTAGAAGAAACAGGATAATTTCAAAAAGCATACAAAAAGCAGGTATTTTCCGATCCATGTGGATGAAACACAAATATTCCTCTCCAATGACCTTTCTGAAGTCATATCTGTGTTTGATATAGCAAAACTTTCACTTGGAAAGACAGGTGGGTATTGAGCCTCACTGATAGTAACGAATGACTTAATATGACACTAGAAAAACAAAGATGGCATCGCTGAAACCATCTAAATATACTTCGGAAGAAAAACTACAACAACGAGATTAGATTTCGAAATTGTCTGAAGTTGTTACTGACATGTCCAGAAAAATCTACGGATATTGTTGAACTGTTAGTGTTACGTTAATGGTGAAGAAAAAATGTTTTCAACTAAAATAAAAGGATACTTTCTGTGCTTATGACGATGTTTAGAATTATTTCATCCATAACCCAGATATTTATGAACAAAACTCAAGATTCAGGTCGGCCTCATGAGCTCTAGTATTGTCACTGTCTCTTTTTCTCATCGGAGATGGAGGTCTGTAGAAATGAGCAGGCCAATAAAACAACATTAGCCTGAATTTCGCATCGTCCACAGCCGTAAGAAGCTATCGGTTCTGAAATGCATTGAATAAGACTTTGGGCCGGTTTATCACACGAAACTGCGATTAAATAAACTTTTATCCGAGCTTGTTGATTGTCAGATAATACAAAGTAATGACCCAGTTCGAGCTGGCGAAGTTCATCGGCGATGGATCGAAATAGTAGCCGAATATGATCGCGTGTGTGTTTAGAGGAAGTAGATCATATGCCAGCGAGAACAATATTTTCTACATTGAAACGGACGCTCGGATGAAGCTCATTGATTATCATGATCGCTGGTCAAATGCTTTCGTGGGAATTTCTAGAAAACAGAACACCATCTACGTTCATTGTCAATGTCAGCATTGCATTGCGATCCCGATAATGGATAAAGTCGAACACAATACCATCACGTATATCATTCATGGGCAAATGCACGCTTTTGTAGAATAGATCAATATTCAGATGATTGGTCAGTATATTCTGCAATTGATCAGCGATAGAGAAGCTGTGAAACGTTTTTGGAAGCACTGGGTAATTTATTGCACATCGTGAACATTACAGTCGATCTACTGTTGATTGCCCGCAGACAGAGCATATATAATATTGTCTTGACTTCGGTTTTGATGCCTTGAGAAGATGCTTGACTTTATATCAGCTCGACATTGTATTCTGTACATGAGGAGTTTTGAGCAAATGAATGATATCATCCATACAATTGATCGAAAAATAATATTTTCCCTTTAATAACACAAGACCAGGTGCGATACCTGTTTCGGTGATTGTGTCCTGTCTAAAATCTTTCATTGCATCAAAGATAGACTTGTTGTCTCCTGGACTTCGGTTAGCATCATGAACGCCATTGAAAATCATTGATGTTGGACAAGAATATGGATTTTCTGTTGAGAATGAAACGTGATTGTCTATAGAATCGTCTTAGTCATCCATGGTGTCTATTACTCTGTTTGAACAAAGGGAGAATTTCAAAGAAAAATACTCTTAGATGCATTTTACGAATTTTGTTCACTGGAATCGATAAGACTGTTGTTATTGAATTGAACTTCTATTTTTTCAGCTTCTTCGCTTGAACCGTTTGTCCATGTTTCGTGATTAACCTGAAGTAACCGGACGCCTTAGATAAAAAACGTGTCACACAAAAAGCAATAAAAATCTGGAGCAACCTAATTCAATTGCCGCATCGAACTCTCGATTGTGTCGCCATGCTGTCCATCTACTTCGTATCGATAATATATTTTTTAAATATTTTTGGAACACGCACTCATCCTTGAACAAGAAGCATTATTTTATTCTCATAGTCATCGAAACAATAAAAGAAGAATACGAAGAAAAATAATAAACCAAAACATATCTGGCCACCGATTTCGTCATAAAATCAACTCGCGAGTCTATGGAGATTCGTTTTCATCATGATCATCAGAAGTTTGAACGTTCGTTCTTGAATCATATTTCAGCCTGTGTAGGAATTTTCTCGTCGCAAACACGTTCCCTATTGCTTTACAGATTTTTGACATATCCATTCGACCGTTTTTCCAATGGATGATTGAGCCAGGCGAATTCTAAAATAAACCCCACGAGTATCATATCTATATTGAGAAGAAAAACACCAGCTGCAGCTTGTATATGCTCTTTCGTGGCATTGGCAAAGATTGTGTTTGGATCGGGATACTTCTTTCGAAACTCTTGCCGAGCAGTAGATAACAGAGTTTTACCGTTAAAAGCAAGCAACTCAGACTCACTCATATCCAAGGTAGAACAGATATAGCCGGAGATTTCTCCTCTGTCAATCTCATCATCATCGATTTCAGAACATGGATCAGACTCATTGGACAAGATTTTTCCCACTTGAACCAAGTATTGAATTGTCTGTTTACCAGTAGGACTGGCTAAAACAGAAAAGAAACACTTTCGGGTACCAAAGTACTTCAATCATTACGTGGCTATATGACGTCTGAAAAAGCATCCGTTTCACTGATACGACTGTTCATAAGACCATTAAAACAATCTATAAACAACAAGATTTGGCGAACGTCAACGCTGAAAGATGAATTCAGCGATCCAAAGCAGTCTTAGATTTCCTTTGCTCTATCGTGGCAAAAAATTCACAAGCTTTCCTATTTGACGATCAATTAATATCGAATCGAACAACCATAAGTTTTGCTCGACTTACGCATTCAAGTCATCTGATAGCCGAGATTTTCTTCGTGTGATGTTGCTAGCTGCGCCACTATTCTCGCACGGTCCCTTGCAAAAATGAGCCCAACTGTTTTTGGATATTTTGGCTGCGGAGATGGAGAACACATCGACTTGTCTGGTGTTTTTCTCTTCGAACAAATAGAGGATTCTGCATCGAAAAATTTCGCAAAGTTCATGACCAAACAGTCTCTAAGAAAAAATAAGAATACCTGTTGTCAACGGTTGTATATTAGCCTTGCTATTCACTGCGAGAATGGAAAGCGAAGAAGAAAGTTTTGATAAATCGATGTTCTTCTTCTTTTTGTCATCATCTTCTTCTGACTCTCTGCTTTCTTCTTCGTCGGCCTCACATTCATCAATTTCTGATGATACAGCTTTAGGAGAAGGGATGACTTCAATCCCTTTATCTTCTGCTAGATTTTCTTCATCGTTCGTCGACGTATCAGATAATTTTGAAGAATTTTTTGTTGATGAAACAATGTCCATCAAGTTGTCACGCTCCTCTTGGTTTCCTAAATCAGAAATAGAATTGTTAATCTTCTCTAAAGTAGCTAATAATTTCTACCTATTAGAATGATAGTACCTTGAATGCGCATGTCACCTAATGATAATTTGGACAAAACCTTAATCGAGATGATTTCACCGCGTGGAACGAATCGAAGTTGATCTCGTAGAACACAAAACGTGCTTTTTTCACTGGTTAGTTTTGATACAGAAGAAGACTGAGATCGTTTGTGGAGAGTGCGAACTTGAGAAGACATTTTAAAAAGATTAACTCCTACGATGAATATCTAGAAGACACAATTAAATATTGAAAGGATTCGAACAGATTAAACAGAGTATTTAGTAAAATGATCGTAAGATTTTTTTTTCTTAACAGTAACGGATTATCTTCGAGTAGACAATCAAACTATTCAAATTTCAGTGGTGATTGTTCATTGGCTATATAGTGATCTACTTTCTTTGACAAATTGAATTACTACTTGCTCACCAGTGCGTTTCTATTTCCTTTGGGCGCGAAAAAATCGAAAGATGAGTTAATGATCATGTTAAGTAATATGAGAATAAATAATTATATAAACTCGTGAATTTTGTTATTATCTTATCATTAAGAGGGTCAGTTACTGGGTTTACAGATGGATTTAACACAAGTGAATCAATATGAAAGTGATATATCAGATGAAGAGATCATTGAACAGACCGCATCAATCAAAATGGCTTCAAAAATGTATTTGGTGATTCATTTAATGATGTCATGTGCTGGATGCACATGAAAAGAAAAATTTTAAGTCGAATATCACATATCAATGATAAAGAAAAGGCGAAAGAAATGTTCATGATATTGAAATTCTTCAACTAAGCAACTCAACAAGGCTATTTGAATTAGGATCCAGATTATTCATGAAAAAATGGAACCTAAACAGTAAAGAAAAAAATTAATCGATATCAAATATTTTACAATATTTTGATAGTGAGTGGCTTTTATCAAATCCGGGTTTGTACGAAGGTATCCAGCTCTATGTTCCAAGTACTAACAATGCACTTGAATCTACTAACAGAACAATAAAAGATGATGGAGCCTTTCGTGAACGTCATGTTTTATCCAGATTTCTGACAACATCTTCGGAAATTATATCCAATTGGTCGATGGATCGTGATACATCATTTACAAATTCAAAGTATTTCACTACAGAACCCACCATTAGTTTAGCATTATGGACTTCATCATACGAATGGGCGAAATCAAATAAAAATTTTATTTGTATAAACAATGAATCATCTAAGGTTTATTATACTTCAGCTCGAGATTTAGATTCAATTCTTAAAACAGATTTGGATAAATATAGGAAACAAAATTTTACCACTTTCAATCAATTTAAAAAATCATTTGATATTTGGTGTTTGGAAGTGGAAAGCGATTCAACTTGGGAAAAGTCAAGATGTACCTGTCCGGCATTTCTCAAAAACTATATATGTAAACATATTGTTGGGATGGGAATAAGATTGAAGTAATGCAAGCTACCATCTGCAGCGAAAACTGCTCTCTTAGTGCAATAATAGAACTTTCTTCATATTCTTTCTATAATTCATTAAAAATTTTCTTTGTACTTAAATATTGAATTAATTACTAACCGATTTTCTTTTTTTTTTACTGACAAAATCTGTATTTTTTTCTGCTACTTTCACAAAATCTACTAACTATATTTCAATTATTTTACTGACCACAAAACATATTCCCAATGTTAATTAACCAATCATATGTTTAGTTCAAGTTTAATTGCGTTTTATCTTATATAGTATACATTTATTCTTGGTGGTTTAATTGTTTTGCCAAACTCAGAACTTTTTGGTTTTTCACATTGACCGAAAGATAATATTTTCAGATTGCGGTTATTAACAGTTTCAAAGAAAAATAGTTTTTACAAAATTATTTCTATTAATTTTCATTGATTTTTTCAAAGTCGCTTCATATAATAATCCCTAAGATTCATATAATTCAGCTAAGATACGAAATCTGTGATGAAATTAAGCATTGATACATCTCAATTAGATATCACTTATGCAGTGTTCGCTGCATTCTTCTAACAGATCTTATAACCTAGCGAGTGAAGAGGATTGGTTGGAGAAAACAGTTGAAAGAATTTGAAAATATTGTTTCAGATGCATGTGCTCAAAGGACTATACCGACAAAACTACGGTCAGATTTTCACGGGTTGTATATCGTGAAGTGTTCATGTATAAATGAAGTCATATATATCGAAGCTCAAGTATATTAAATTGTGCATGTGACTTTTCTTTCATTATTTGAGGAATAAAACGTCTAAATATAGATTATAATAATTTATGCTTCGAATGTGTTAGGATCCGTATTCGTCCAGAAGCCGACAGAAGTCAAAAATCGATGAGTGGGCACCCTTTATTTCGTTGCTTTCTCCGACACTGTCGAGCTTTTTTTCTTTTACCACGAGGACAACACGAGAGAACAACAGAGAGGAAAAAACAAACAACCGACAACAACAACGAAACACACGAAGGATCGTTCGTCTATATGAGATATAGATGGCGATCCTGACACCTCCCCCCTCACCAAGTTTAGAGGAAGATATCAGATGGTAATAACTGTTCATAGTATTGCTGCTCGCGATGTGATTTGATTCCAATGAACATAATCGAATGCACCGGATTAACATTTGTAGGCTTGATTTGGAGATGACGAAGAATATTTTTAACCGTGGTGACGTCAAGATTTGACTCCCGTTGAATCACGAATTGATATCGATTGCGCCGATGTCGGAAACTCGTCTTTTGATTTCGCCTTTTTCTTGCTTTAGTAGATCGTCGAGATTTTCGTTGACGTTTCTTTCGAGTAATCGCCCCATCAAGATGACAATGATCCGTCAATTGAGATGAAACAACAGTTTCTGGTACTTGTTCAATTAACATTTGCGGAGATAAACGAATAGGATCGAATGGTGTTGGTGTAGGACATTGTCGATGAACCTCGACATTTGCTAGGTCATTAAAAGTACATTCATTGATGAAATAAAGAGCAAAATGTCCAGGATATGTATACGACCGAAATAATGAACGATAAAACGTTTCTTTTTCGGCTTTTCCTTTACGGCGATTCATGAATCCGTGATGAGAAGTACCAATTCGTAAAGCCCAAGTGACAACAAATACACCAGTTGAAAATTTCCACCACGCAGACGATACCTTTGTTTAAATAATGACACACTGACTTCGCATATTACAATCAATGACAAGTTTCACCATAACCACACAGCTAGGACGAGAATTACACCAAGGCGAGATCAACCGTGAAAATCGATCATATATTGAAACAATTAATCAACACCGTTGACTAAATCGAGTCGAATAATTAATAATCGAGTAAATTCCCGTGGATGATAACAAGAGACGACAGAGAATCACCAACACGAACCTAACTGAAATGTAACAACAAGTAATGAATCATCCAAGTAAACTTGACCATTGGCCAAATCACTAACGATAAAGATAAAAATAAAATAGAATATAGATGACGTAATCGTCAGAAAAATAATCATGAAATCAAGGATAGACGAAGAAAATAACACCCATAGCGAGAAAAAAAAAGGAAATTAAACAAACAAAAGTGAAAAGAGAAATGAGAAATGATAGAGTTAACAAAATTAACAAGCAGAACATGCACGTAATTGCGAGACATGTGCTTGATACACCATATCGTTGAGCTCATCACGAATCCAATATGTGGGATGTCGAACATCGAGGACAATCATTGGATCAGAGTAAATTGATGATAATTTTGTTCGTGAGCCTGATAATCTTTTGAGTACGCGATCACCCACCTTGAAATGAATATCCAAACGATGAGTATCATAATTTGATTTATAATATCGTTGATGTTTGACGATGTTGTCTTTTGCATGCCGATGATACAATGTCAATGTTCGTCTAAAATATTGAAAATAATCACTAGGCTTCAAAAATTCGTACTGTGTAATAGGTGGATCCGGTGGGAGATTTGGTTGCCGTCCGAATTGTAATTGATAAGGAGAATATTCAGTCGCTGCGTGTCGGCCTGTATTGTATGCGAATACAATTGACTTCAAATGAATATCCCAATCATTCATGTGAGTATTTGTGACTTTCGCTAATTGACGTTCGAACGTAGCGTTGAATCTTTCGATAGCTCCATTCGTCTGTGGGTGATATGGGGTGGATTTAATGTGATGGCACCCTAATATGTTCGTAAAGAGCCGCGGCCGTTGTTTGGGCGTTTTGTTTCTCCGTCGGTATCGCAATTACCCATTTTGTAAAATAGTCTGTGACTGCTAATACGTATTTGTGGCCGTCTGACGTTGTCGGGAACGGTCCAGAATAATCAATACCAATAATTTGAAATGGACCCCTCGGTGATTCAATAGGATTAAGATGACCAAATGCTTTGTGACGCGCGAAGTTAAATTTTTGACATTTCAAACATGTCGAAAGGTAATTCCTAATTGTATCTTTCATATTTGGCCACCAGTAACGATCCTTCAAATTGTTATGCGTTCGACGGAACCCAAAATGGCCCGCCCACGATGATGCATGATAAGCTTCCACCACTTGAGAAATTAATGTTGCTGGTACATAAATTAATTTTTTGTTTATCTTATCATTGTTGACGAGCTTGTAAAGAATATCATTCTTTGCTTCAAACGAACAGTTAGACGACTTTTGTTGTAATTTCAGAACTTGTTCTTGGTAAAATGAATCCTGTTTTTGTGCATCGCCAATCTTGGTGACATCAAACTCATGACCAGCCACTCTTGATGGCTGATCATCTTCTGGCGACGATTGTGCTGTTGTTGACTCATTTTTTCCACTATTCGAGACAACTAATTGTGCTTTCGCTTGAGCTCTAGTAGTTATTGCAACGAACGCCTGAAGACCAGGAACTATGCCAAAATCGTTTTCGATAAATTCGTCGTCGTCTTCGACTTGACGTGGATATCTAGACAAATAATCAGCCATACAATTGCACTTACCCGACACATGACGAATTTCCTTGATGTTGTACTGTTGTAAAATTAATGATATACGATCCACTCGACGATTATTCGATGGTTTAAGATGCATATCGCGAAGCGGACAATGATCTGTATAGACGATAAATTCTCGTCCGAGTAAATATAATTTCATACGTGACACACAGTAATAGATAGCCAATGCTTCCTTTTCAATCGTTGGCCATTTTCGTTGTGGCTTTGGTAACATTTGTGAATGAAAATAAATATTCTTCTTGTGATTATTTTCATCTTCTTGATAAAGCACACCTCCAATGCACTCATCTGACGCATCGATTGCTAACGTTAACGATAATTCCTCGTCAGGATAAGTGAGAAACAATGGTTCGGTAACTAATAACATTTTCAATTGTTCGAAAGCGTCGCGTTGTTCCTGTCCCCAACGAAATTTGTTTTTGTTCGCTTTTGTCAGATTAGTAACCGCTAATATAGGGGCGGCGATGCGAGCATAATCCTGGATGAATTTTCTATACCACCCAATAGCACCAATAAAGGTATTTGCTTGATTCAATGATACTGGTTGTGGAATAGATAAAATCTTTTCAATACGATCCCATAGTGGCCGAACTCCATCCCGACTGATTGTGTGACCTAAATAATCTATTTCCGTGCGAAATACTTCGCATTTTGGAGGATTGAGTTGAAATTTATGCTTGTTGAGAATTGCCAAAACTTGATTCACATGCTGCAAATGTTGCTCGAATGTATCCGAAAATATTAGTACGTCATCTAAATAGACAATACAGAACTGTTTACATGGCAACAACAAACTTGACATAATTCTTTGGAACGATGGTGGACTGTTTTTAAGACCTTGTGCCAAAACGTTAAATTCGAATAGTCCGTGAGTTGTGATAAATGCCGTTTTGTGTTTGTCGTGCTCTTTGATTGGTATTTGAAAATAACCCGATCGAAGATCGAATTTCGAATAATATCGACGACCGCCTACCATTTGGATTGCTTGTTCGAGGTTTGGCAATGGAAATTTGTCTTGAATCGTGATGTTATTAAGCTTGCGGTAATCGACAATAAAACGATATGAACCATCTCTCTTTTTGATCAACAATATTGGTGCGGAATATTGTGAAAAAGACGGTCGTATTTGATTGTTACTTAACATCTGTTGAATGATATCAAATGTAGCATTTTGTTTGTCAATAGTTTGAGGGTACGGTCGTGATGTAGGTGGTGGTTTGTTCTCAGTGCAAATAACGTGTGGAGTGTCCGTATCGGCTATTGTCGTTCTTGACGTGTCGAATAGCTGTTGATGTCTCCTGAAGATCTTCAATACTTCGTTCATTTTTTGTTTTTCATTGATATGTTCTAACAAAGAATGGATATTTTCTGCGCTAACTGTTGTTACCGAGTCGGTTTGGTCTTCATCAACTAGATTTCTTGTTTGTGAATCGAAAATGGTGGCTACCACAGATACCGATGCATACGGTGTTAATTCACCTATAATTTCTTGTGAATATAACGTTTGAGCTTCCATGGTTGAATTGTAAATCCACACCGTAGCTGTATGATTTCGGACCGGTATAACTGCATGTGCTGTAATCAATCCTTTCGTTTTCAATACTTCTGTAGGCGAGAATAACATATGACCTGATGGGACTTGACATGCAAGTTGTATTGATTTTTCTTGTTGCGGTTCGATGGATATGAACGAGACAGATCGACACGTTGACATGGCTTTTTGATGCAGACCTTCCATTGGGAGTGATGCCAAAACACCTTGTTTATGAATGTATACCTGTTTTTCTTTGTTGTCGAGAATAACATGATTTTTATCGATATAGTCCATTCCCAATAGACAATCGACGCATAAATTGTCAACAATGCCCACCATTATATCCGTTTGTATACCCTTCGCGTCGCTAGCTATTTGTANTTTAGAGGAAGTAGATCATATGCCGGCGAGAACAATATTTTCTACATTGAAACGGACGCTCGGATGAAGCTCATTGATTATCATGATCGTTGGTCAAATGCTTTCGTGGGAATTTCTAGAAAACAGAACACCATCTACGTTCATTGTCAATGTCAGCATTGCATTGCGATCCCGATAATGGATAAAGTCGAACACAATACCATCACGTATATCATTCATGGACAAATGCACGCTTTTGTAGAATAGATCAATATTCAGACAAGGGGGAAAAAGCTGATTGCAATCAAAGCAATCATTGACAATCATCGACAATCATAGGCAATCACAGGCAATCATTGACAATCGTTGACAATCACAGGCAATCATTGACAATCGATGGATTTTCCAGAATAAAGACTTTTATTTTGAACAGTACAGCTAATCGATAGCTAATTATTTTTCAATATAGATAATATTCTGTATAGTTACAATAGATATCGCTCCATATCTTATGATCATGAATCCAGGGCAGTCCTAAGAAACACTGAGCAATCGATATCTTATCTATATCTGTATTTTTCTTTTCTCTCGTCACAAATCTATCCCACCACGTGATAAAGAATAGAAGAAAAAGAAAAAAATAGTCGTCACTCGTGCTATTCTTTATAATTTCATTTCCATCTTTGTCGAAATCAAGTATATACTATTTGGTTATTAATTCTTCGTGTAGTGATATGTCACCTTCGAAACATTCACGTATCAATACAACAACACTTCCTTCAAATATTCTGGATCTTCGTGATGAAGCATTCTATGATTTTGTCCGTCAAGTTTCTGGCAAACGCGTTGCAGAACTACTTGCTTTTCAGGAATTGAACGGTGTTGATTCTTTTCTTGGATGCCAAGATGTTACCGCAGTACTTCGTCTTCAATCTGATCAATTAAATGAACTTAAAAAACACACCTGCATTATCTTAGTCGATGGAACGATTCCTCTTCTGCCTGGTCTTGGATCATCAATTAATATTCTCACTAAACTGCTGAAAAAGAACCGAGATGAAATCAATAAACGAGCTGTACGACTTCAATCATTCAATTCCTCGTTTTTACCAATTGCAAGTTCAATTCCAATCGTTCATTCAGCAGCAATTACATCACCTGGTAATCCATTAACTCACGCACATTTACAATCTGCATCATTAGTAGCAGATACGTCTACCTTATCTGTTCATAACCCTTCACACGCATCAAATTCTGTTCCTGGTGAAATATCAAATAGAATTTCAACAAATATTACGGATTGGCTGAAGAAAAAAGAACACGATCTCAACTTAATCAGTACAGATTTCCAACAAGGTATAGATTTCCATATAGAACTGAATGAACAAAGAGATGGTATTATTATACGATGTAAATGTGGTGCACGATCTGCTGTTAGCCAGAAACAAGGAACTCTTGTGGTAAGGATTGATATTATGTAAGCTTTAAGTTCTCAATTTCAAAAGATTAATCGTTTAGTTTTCGAACGTTTTTCGACATTTTAAATCTGGAAAATGTTCGTTAATCATTGAAAAGCAACAAAATCCCATCAATCGTCAAAGTACAGCTAATAATGAAGTTGACGATGGTGCTATCGATTCAACATTGTTGACAACTACTCAATGGACTTTACCAAATTCACAACACTCAGGGCCAATTTCTATGAAATCTACGTCTTCGAAAGGTAGTAGGCGTACACGTTCAACTTCAATTGCACCCAAGAATAAAAGACAACGAAGAAAATAAATAGGGTGAATTCACTGATGAGTTTTTATTCATTTATATCTAAAGGTAATGCACATACTTACACATTTAGAATTTTATTTGGTTTTGGGTCATTACTATTCCCGATGTCTTTATATAGATTACTGCTGTCAAAAAATGAATATTGTATTTTATATATTTATTCTGTTGATGATTTTGATTTTGATTTTGATTTTGATTTCGTTTCATACATTCAAACAAAATGGATTTTGATTAAGTTGTGATTATTATTTGAAAAAGAATGTTTTTACCTTGACTAATAAAATACTTCCGATGGTTTAACATGATATCAGTTTTTAAACAATTGTTTTAGACTGTTGAATTCTAATTCATTTTTCAAATCTTTATAGCTTCAGTTATATAAACGATTATGCCTATTTCATTGCCTAATAACATCTTCGAACTTCGAAACGAAGCATTTTTACAAGTAGTCAAAGAACAGTGTGGAACTACAATGGTGGATATTTTTACTTATCTGGAAATCAATTCGGCCGACTCACTTCTTGATATAAAAGATTTATTTGCATTTTTTCATTACGATTCACCTGATCTTCTACCAATGAAAACTAAAATTGGAATTATGTTAAGGAATGGAAAATTCGTTATAAAGGAAGGACTTTTGTTTCAAGCTAATTCTTTTATTCAAAAATTAAAAGCACTAAAACAAGCAAATATGTCGATTATGGATAATCTAACCATTCCTTCTACTCTTCTTCAACAACATCCTGCACTTCGATTAATTCTACGATTTTTTGAAGATTCTCCATTACATTCAAATGATTTTTTGGTTCAATTCAAACATCTAGTGATACAAACAATTATGTCGAATCACCATCGTGCGCGATCTCGATACAGTTACTCTGATTCTATACGAGAATTTGCATCATGTTTATTTATTCTTGGTGGTCGAAACTTGTATGAATTCATTCGTTTAAATGTAACTGGTCTTCTACCATCTCTACCTGTTATTGAAACATTGCTTGATTCCACAGAAAATCGTATCATAGAGGCGGAATTTAGATATTCACTTATGTTCGATTATCTTTCATTACATAATACAAACTTTATCTTCGTATCTGAAGACTGTACATCCATAATTCCACGTATAATGTATTGTGCTAAATTGGATACATTTATTGGATTTACGCCTCGACTCGATTATGGTTTGCCTCAAATTAATTCGTTTTCCACTGACTCTTTCATTGAACTTGAAGAATGGTTTGATACATTAACAAAGTCGAATCTTCTTAACGTTTGTATGGTTCAACCAATTAATTCAAATTCTGCTGCCTGTTCGCCATTCGTATTATCTGCATTTGGAGCTGACAACAAGTTCAATACACAGGATATTTTAATGCGATGGATGAGTATCGTCAACCATTGCGATAAAGAAAAAATAAAAGTTGTGGGCTTTTCGACCGACTGCGATTCTCGATATTTAAGATGTATGCGCTTGTTGATGGGATTTTTTGCCGACATGCCAAACCAACAATTTCATTCACGTGACAAAGCTTTTGACATTGATTTGCCAATAGTAATCTTATCAATCGAAGTTTGAATACTTTCAACTTTTGTTTTCTTAGGGTTGGGATTGGTTTTTCATGAGAAGTCGCCAACGTCTCGTATTCATACAGGATGGTATTCATTTATGCACAAAACTGAGGAATAGACTGTTATCTTCGAAAGCTACTATGTTATTTGGAGAAGAACTGATCGATGTTAATCATCTGATTCAACTAATCAATTCATCATCAAAGTTAAATCATAATCTGGTCAAATCCGATGTTTTACCAAAGGATAGACAGAATTTCGCCTCGTGCGAAAAAATATCCAATGAAAGTGTACTTACTGAACTTGCGTCGGTACCAAAATCTAAAGGAACTCAAATTTATCTTGAGGTACGCGCTTATTTAATGATTTATTTCTGAAAAGTGAAAGGATTCATATATTTTCTTTGTGTTGTAGATAATTCGTAATGTACGATTTGCGTTTGTAAAGAAGGAAACATTCTACATCGATAGAATTCAATATGCATGGAGATCTGTTTTTCTCATTCGATTTTGGTACGTTTGGTTAAGCAGAAAAACAAAAAACGAACTTGATGCAATTCTTCTTGGTCGATTCTCACTACGTAAATGTCAAGAAAAGAATACAAAGCAACAGTACTTCATTACTTTACCAGCAATGTTTTCTATCGAAATTAATAGCCATACGCTGGTTTATTTAGCTTTACTTTCCATTCAACAGTATCTGCCAGTAGAATGTTTGAACATAAGTTCGCTAAACTCACAAGTATGTGAGTCTACATTCAGATTATGTCGATCAATGTCTGGATCGTTTTCTTCGATAATCAATTTCACTGTGCATCAATTTTTACAACGAGTGAAAAAGCTCTCGTATTTAAATTCGATCAAATGTCGAGCTATTAGTAACAATGATTCAAAAAACGCATTTTTGTTCCCGCGTCATCATAAACAATCTAAGATTAACAATTCCGAGGCGATATCTCTTTCAACAGAAACGACTTTAACAATGCTCACACGTGAAGCAATCGAAAAAACAATTTTGGAAGCATACTCGTATGCCAGAGGTATTGTATCTGAAGTAGGCATGTATGAAAAGCACGAAATTTCAACTTTGAAAAATATGTCTCATTTGGCTCGCATTCAACTTCAAAAATCGCGAATAGCTGATTATGCTCATCTTAACGAACACGATCCGGACTTCGACTTTGATTCAGACGACAGTAGCTGTGATGAAGTGGAGAATATCGATGGAAGTGACACAGATCATGATGACTCAACCAATGAGGACGATGATAATTATTTGTCTGATGACTTTTCGAATGTTAGTCGACCGACATTCCATGGCATGCGCATACTTGATTCTATTAAACCAGATCAAGGTGCATCGTACTTTAAGGTGAATATCAATGGAACTAATAAATATTTACACAAACAAACGGCCGTTTGGACATTATTAGGCATGTGACAACTCAAGCTCAACAGCTCGTGCGAATTGAATCGAAGAACTGGGCCTCCATTTCCAGCTCCAGTGAGTTGGATATGACGACCAGCTCCTTTCATTCGAGCTGGAGCTATTCACCAGTTCCTTTCATTCGAGCTGGAGCTGTCCACCAGTTCCTTTCATTCGAGCTGGAGCTGTTCACCNATAGCATTCTATGCATTTTCTTACTAAAGAATAGGCATGTGACAACTCAAGCTCAACAGCTCGTGCGAATTGAATCGAAGAACTGGGCCTCCATTTCCAGCTCCAGTGAGTTGGATATGACGACCAGCTCCTTTCATTCGAGCTGGAGCTATTCACCAGTTCCTTTCATTTGAATTGGAGCTGTCCACCAGTTCCTTTCATTCGAGCTGGAGCTGTCCACCAGTTCCTTTCATTCGAGCTGGAGCTATTCACCAGTTCCTTTCATTTGAATTGGAGCTGTCCACCAGTTCCTTTCATTCGAGCTGGAGCTGTCCACCAGTTCCTTTCATTCGAGCTGGAGCTGTTCACCAGTTCCTTTCATTCAAACTGGAGCTGTCCACCAGTTCCTTTCATTTGAACTGAAGCTGTTCACTACTTCAGCTCGTGTGAGTTGGAACTGAATTGTTTCTTTCAAGTAAAACAAGTTCAAATCCGTAAGTTTTGTAGGGATGTTTTTGTTTTCATATTTAGTTAGTATTCGAGGGATATACATTATGTTTCTCGCAGCCTAGTCATATAAGAAGATGGTGGCGATATTACTTTTGTCTTTGTTAACGCATCTAGATATATCATTTAAATTGATACTGTTTTCATGACTGTTTGTGAATCGAGGCACGTAATCTGACATTCTATTGATTACATACATATATCTATGTCTGCTTTCCTTCTTCCCTGGATATGTCATTCTCCACTCAGATACATGCGTATATATACATATCGTTTTAAAGTGGTGTTATCTTAGCCAGTACGATATTACATTTTCACTTTCTGTTAGACTAACATCATTCGTTCTCTCTTCTTTATTTTTTATCGAAGTAATTCTCAATTTGTAAATTAACGTGACTTATCAATGGGAAAAACAACGCCACCTCCAAAAACAAATTCAATTACTAGTCAGAAGACAAGAAAATCAGATTCATCGATTACCAAACAATCATCCGCAAGTGCAACACAACGCCGAGGGAATGGGAATAGTAACAGTACACAGCGGGCGATAGCGTGGACAGTGCAGGATAAGGAAAACGCCACCAACCATACAAAACCATCAAGTGACATTAGTGACGACGAAACGATGGAATCTGGTACAGCTGTGTACAAAAAGCCTCGAAAGTCATCAGCTGTTCATGAATATGCGGAGAAATTTTCACCGAACGAATATCAATGCAAGATATGCGCAAAGGTAAATACACGTTTTGATCTAGTGGGGGAAGTTTCGTATTACTAATCCGTATTAGAGACAATAAGTTGTTCGCTTTAATTAACCATAAAATTCACTCCTACAGATAGTCGATCTGAGAAAAATATTAATCTCTTCTTCCATTCTTTAGATTATTCGTTGTACCGTCGATACGAATAGCAACATTCGACGACATCTAGCGTTAAACCACGGTAAAGTACAATTGGCTTGTAAGAGTCATCGATCCTCGCGTATGACAATTTCTCTCGAGAAGAGAAAACGATTCGACGAAGCAGCTCTTAACTGCATCATTACCGACACTCGATGCTGGAATGATTTCAAGCGACCTGGGATGGCTAGCTTTCTTTCAATCGTGGTTCCTGGATATATCGGTCCGTCAAGTCGAACAGTTCAGCGGAGGTTAGCAAAACTTTATCTACAGAAGCAACATGATTTCAAAAACGAATTAAATGAAGTCGAAAATGTATCAATTACTACCGATCTATGGCAAAGCGCTCGATCTCACCATTATCTATGCATAACTGTTCATTGGCTCAATTCCAAGTATCAAACGAATGCAAAAGTTCTCAGCTTTCGCAAATTCAAAGGCCGTCATCTTTCGATTCGTATACGTCGTCACATTAAAAGAGTTTTGGACGATTTCAATCTTATAAATAAGATCGTTGCGACAACAACTGACAATGGTTCAAACGTGAAAGCGGCTACGAGTCAAGTTCGTCTGTTTGGCATCCGTCTCCATTGTATGGCACATGCGCTGAATCTGACTATTCACAAAGGTTTACACCTCTGGGCGAAAAAGAATTCAACTCTGCAGCAAAATAGTAGTTCACAGAATGAAAAGTAAATCTTATTTCTTCTCTCTTAGAGGACCTTACCACATTTCTTCTTTTTCGCAGTGAGCCAGTCGATTCTAACGACGATGCATCGGATGATGATGTTTTGAACGAACCCGATGAAGAACCAAATGAATCAAACTGCAACAGTGATGAGGAAGATGAAGCCGAAGAATTCGATCAAGATGATGACTCTTCATCGTCATCGACAGATGCTGAAGATGATGAGAGCGATTCTTCATCGGCAACTCTTATGAATGGCATCACCAATTTAATGGAAAGATGTAGAAGTATCGTTGTAACCATTCGGAAATCCAGTATTCTTCATGAGTTCATTCAAACTCTTGCTGATGAGTCGTCCATTAAAGCTGGTCTTATTATTGATATGCGAGTGCGTTGGAACTCAACTTTTAAAATGTTGCAACGAATAATACTCTATCAATCTATTCTTAACAAGTTATATGAACAACTCGATTCTTTGGCAGGTGTTACTGGTCTTCAACGGAAAAAACTTTTGAACGCGAAGCTAACTGGGAACGATTGGACTTTAGCACAGGTGCTTCGACGTGTTCTTGAAAGGTTCGACGATGCGACAAGAGTTTTGTCTGGACAAAGATATCCAACTTTATCTTTTTCGTATGCAATCACGTTCAGCTTACTGCATTATTTAAATAGTCAATCAGTTGACAACCTCGAGAACCAAGTGAAAGCATTACTTCTAAACTCTTACAACCAATACATGATCCGTGATGGCAAAGAGATGGCAGTGATTCGAGTTGCAGCATTGCTTGATCCAGTCATACACGATTTACTTACACCTGAAGATAAACATGCAGCTGAATCTTCCATTGCCAAAGAGGTAATGTATAAACTTTTTGAAAGATGAGCCTAACTAACCACCCGAACAGGATTTTCACTCATCAAAAGAGCCGAGCTGATTAATAGAAGATATCACTCACGTAAAGAGACAGAAATCGGTAAGAGTCATACGTTCATCAAGAGAAAATCGTTAAACACTTTCAATGACCATCCGAGGAAAGAAAGAATATGAGAAGAATAAATTGAACTGCAAATACTTTTTCACCAGGACAGCTGTGAGAAGAAAAAGGACATTGACGAAGAAGTGAAGTAAAATACAAATATCAAGAAAAAACTATTGAAAGAGAGTTTCAAAATAATTCTATTCATGTTTTAATTAAAATGCTTATGTGTTACTTATAGATCAACGAGAAACGTCGTTCAAATAGTACATTGACGTCTGTTACATCGGTTACTACATCAAATACGAATACAGATACAAGTACACAGTCAACAACATTACCGTTGGGCAATCTATCGAAAAGTTCGTCGGTTATCCACAGTTTCTTAAACAAATGTGGTGTANNNNGTTTCAAAATAATTCTATTCATGTTTTAATTAAAATGCTTATGTGTTACTTATAGATCAACGAGAAACGTCGTTCAAATAGTACATTGACGTCTGTTACATCGGTTACTACATCAAATACGAATACAGATACAAGTACACAGTCAACAACATTACCGTTGGGCAATCTATCGAAAAGTTCGTCGGTTATCCACAGTTTCTTAAACAAATGTGGTGTAAAGCCCCCCCCAAAATAGAAGGCCACCCTATATTAAAAGGCCACCCCCTATATAAGGCCATATTCAACCAAAAGTTCAACTGTTCTATTACAAGGCCATGGCCTTTTATTATGTATTCAGTTTTTGAATTAGGATTTTCTCCACATTAATGAATGAAAAAGGTAGTCAGAATAACAAAGAATCGAAAAAGTAAACGCCATGTTTGTCCTAACATTCATCTAAGTTTAGACTGATAAACATTTTTTTCTTTCTTTTCTTTCGTTCTGTTCAGCTGATATATGCACCGAAGTTGTCTTTATATCAGCTGTTGCTCTACCTCTTTATAAGATGTCCTTACTGAATATAAAGTAATAGTTAATTCTTCTTATTACATTTTAACAAAAGAAAGAAGCTTCTTCACTTCTTCCCTCGATTCACTCCTGGTTCCTATATAAACCCACTGTTTTCTGCTGAATAAATAATCATTTCTCCTCCATTTTCTCTATTTGATTGATAATATCTAACTAAGTCTTGTTTATTAATTCTTTTCTGTGATACTTCCACGTTATTTTTACCATGAACACTGATTGTCATTTGTATACGTTACCACAAATCGAATCGGATGATAATAATGATACAGATTCTGATGATTCTGATCTCGAAGTGATATCGGTGATTGATGAGACAGAAAATATTGCAATTTCGATCATGCATCATTTTAATCTCGATAGTGATGAAGACAATGACGATAACGAAGAAGCATTTGATGTTCAACAGTCGAATTCAGTTATGAATTCAAATGATAATGAACTTAATGAAGGTTCAGATGGTCTCGACCAAGATATTATACCCAGTAACCAATCACCTTTATTCACTTCATCATCAACTTTATCTAATTCGGTGGAGGGGAGTCCACCATGCAAACGTAAACGTCGACAGTGGTCAGTTGCAGAGAAGTTACGTGCAATTGATATGCTGGAAAAACATGGCGGTAATAAGCAACTCACGTCAATAAAAGAAGGCTGTTCAAGATTTCAGTTGTCTCAATGGGCGAAACAAAAAGGAAATCTTATTAAACTATCAAGACAAAATCATGGTAAGTTTTATCTTTCTACCAATGATAATATCGATTCCTCTAACATCTCTTATCCTTTCTTACTTGGATTGATTATAGGACGCAAACGAAAACGTCTTCCTGGTGCCGGGCACAAGCTGCAATACCCTGAACTTGATAAATTGCTTCTCGAATGGTTTCGAGAACGTCGTACTGCTCCCAACGATCAATCAAATGTATCGACAATGACTACATCAATCGTCGTTAAACGAGAAAAAGTTACATTTAAACAATTACAACGAAGTGGAAAACAGTTTTCTATCGAACTCAAGTATGAACATCCACCATCGACGAAGTGGTATGGTAGATTCATGCGTCGTCATCGTCTATCGCTTCAAAAACCAAAACGACAACAGAAATTGCCACTCAATGAGGCTCATCTACTCATTAATTCATTCCATACATATGTCAGGCGGGCTAGTACATGGGGTCCAAAACGTGGCGCGATGGGGGCCTTCTTACCTCGTGACGTTGTAAATATGGACGAAAGTCCACTAAGTTTATTTGGTGACCAAACAAAATTATCGATCAATGATGTAAATACAGTAAATGAGATTGAAGGTCACGTATCAGACAAACGTTTCTGTACTGTCATACTAACAGTATTTGCCGAAGATAATTCTCGTGTAGGCCCAGTAGTATTATTCAAAGGAAAAGGCCAGGTGAGCGACCAAGAGAAGATACAATATGCATCTAATGTCAAAGTTTTCTTCACACCAAAAGCATTTAATAATCGACCGTAAGTTGTACGCACAAAACATGTCTCTTCCTTTTCAATAATACTGTTATTTTTATACTTTTAGAACAATGGATAAGTATATTAGCTGGTGGCACTCAAAAGTGAATGATGGACAACCAAAGTTATTTATTACCGACTCATCATCTACTCACTTAAATGAAGAGACAATTCGTCTCATGCGCCAAAAAAGAGTTGTTGTTGCTGTGATTCCGAAGGGCTGCACAATGTACATCCAATCATTGGATGTTCATGTATTTTCTACATTCAAACACCATCACTATGAATGTGCCGAAGAATGGATTGAAAAAAACGGTGGTCGATCGAAAATCAAATTAACTGCAGCACAGTCACGAATATTGTGCACTCGACTCGTGTCATCAGCGTGGTCTCGCACGCTCAAAAGTATTGATCCAATGGCATCATTTCTTGAGCTAGGATACGTCTGGAAAGATAATAGCCTGGTGCGACCTCCGAGTATTCCAGGCTATTGCTTTGATCCGACTGATGTTGATTATTCCACTAACAAAGATCCAAATGTAGCCGATGATAAACGTATTGAAGAAGAAGCTCGTAAAGCTACTGAACAACACAATCGAAGTCTTATGAAGAACACACAACAAAAGACTCTGCTCGATATGTGGAAAAAAAACTAATTTTGTAAACCTTTTAATGTGAAATAGGATTATCTTATGTACGAAAAATATTTGTTTTTATTCAGAAAATAATAAATAATGAAATGTGTTAAAGCATAGGACATTCTAAATTTCAGACGTATTTGAAGGCCATCCTAATTAGAAGGCCACGCAAAAAACAATGATGTGCGGAGACACTGTATAAGGGCATGACCTTTTATTCTGGGGGGGGCTTTAGATTCTACCAGCGCTCAAACTGGTTCAAAGAAAGTGCTCACTATTGCTCAAGAATTAGCTAAATTGTCGTCTATTCCCAAAGATGATTGTGAATGTGATTTATTCTGGCAAGAAAATGG